TACACACACACACACACACACCACTCTCGGGGCCCCCTGGTAGTCACACGGCTCCATAATATAACTGGCAAAGATGTAAGAATTTAATGCATCGGCCTACAGTGGGAAAATGGTTTAATCTGTTGGAATAGAGTAGAAATATCAAATATATCAAAAAAAATATCACTACTTTTCTTCTAAATGAAATGCTGACATTACAAAATGCATGGTTTTATACTGCAATGGCAATGAGATCAACAAATGTGGTCTGAATGGAAGTCAATGAGGCATTTTTGAGATAAATGAAATAATGAAAATAATGAAACAGGCGTTTAAAGGGTTAAAATCAAAACCGAAAATGGTAGTTTTGAGTACGTTAGAAGTTGTTTATGTGATTCATGAAAAAAAAGTAGAAAAAGATATTGATATATGATGATTTAATAGAAGTTATTATGGGCGTGTACATTTTTGCCACGAAGGTGTCCAGAGGTAGTATCTGATACTACGTAAAAAATAATAATGCAGTCAAATCAATTTTGTTGCTAATCTTTGACACATCCAAGACTCTAATAACCACCAAAGTTCCATCCCTCTACTAATTATTATATTGAAAGAAATTCATTTTTTGTGTTTTTTTGTAATAAATAATGAAATAATTCAAATAATTAAACAGGCATTTAAAGGGTTAAAATCCAGAAAAGTATTGAATGTTTGCTAGTTCTGAGTATGTTATAAGTTGTTTATGTGATTCATGAAACAAAAAGTAGAAAGAAATATTGATATATGATGATTTAATAGAAGTTATTATGGGCGTGTACATTTTTGCCACGAAGGTGTCCAGAGGTAGTATCTGACACTACGTACAAAATAATAATGCAGTGAAATCAATTTTGTTGCTAATCTTTGACACATCCAAGATTCTAGTAACCACCAAAGTTCCATCCCTCTACTAATTATTATATTGAAAAATAATTATGTTTTGTGTTTTTTCGTAAGAAAAAATGAAATAATTCAAATAATTAAACAGGCATTTAAAGGGTTAAAATCCTGCCAATGACTGAATGTTTGGTAGTTTTGAATACGTTAGAAGTTGTATATGTGATTCATGAAAAAAAAAGTAGAAAAAGATATTGATGTATGATGATTTAATAGCAGTTATTATGGGCGTGTACATTTTTGCCACGAAGGTGTCCAGAGGTAGTATCTGATACTACGTAAAAAATAATAATGCAGTCAAATCAATTTTGTTGCTAATCTTTGACACATCCCAGACTCTAATAACCACCAAAGTTCCATCCCTCTACTAATTATTATATTGAAAAAAATTCATTTTTTGTGTTTTTTGTCATAAATAATGAAATAATTCAAATAATTAAACAGGCATTTAAAGGGTTAAAATCCAGAAAATTATTGAATGTTTGGTAGTTTTGAGTACGTTATAAGTTGTTTAAGTGATTCATGAAAAAAAAAGTAGAAAGAAATGTTGATGTATGATGATTTAGTAGCAGTTATTATGGGCGTGTACATTTTTGCCACGAAGGGGTCGAAAGGTTGAAAATTCGAGGAGGGCACAAGGGTTAATATTCTGAAAGCCAATGCTTTGTTTATTTGAAAACAAACTGTCCCGGACTAGAGATGGGCGAGTCTTGATTCATCCGGATCATTAACCCGGATCCTAGAAATGAGCTGGTCGTGACGAGTCTCCCCTCTCCATTAACCCGAGTCCTTTGAGTCGCACACTTGGTGTGACGTACAAATTAAAACTATAAATTGCGTCAGTCGCTACTCTCTTTATAACATGTAAAATCACATTACAACGTACCCGTCCATCTGCCTACCCTTTAGCAAGTAGGATAGCTGCCAGAAGTTATCGTTTGGGTCAGGGGAGGGGACGCGGATCAGTGAAACTTCCTGCAGACTCGTGGGGACTCAGAGGAGCCGACGGCTCCTAACCGTAATAGCATAGCAGATCCAGAGATCCATACTCGTCATGTGCACGAGCATAGCCCCTCCTCCAGCACCCGCCCCCGCGGCTATATTATGCACGAGTCAACAGCAGACTCAGAGATTCGCAAATCCTGACTCATTGTGCAAAACATAGCAGACTCGTGCGGACTCAGAACCGTAACCGTATAGCAGCAGATCCAGAGATCCAGCAGACTCGTCATCATGCACGATTCAACAGCACTCAGATTCGCTAAATTGCAAAATGACCCTTTTTTTTGTGATCAATATGTTTTATTAAAGCAAAAGACACCACTTTACACACATTTAACACATACAAACACCAGTATTGCAATGATTACGCAGTCCATGAGAAAATATGGGGGGCATATGAATAGATATAATGATATGTTTAATAATAATAATAATTGTATAATTAAGACATTTTATATATTCTAACTGTTTTGCAATCATTTGTCATTGTTTGTTTCTTTTTGTGTGCTATGTTCAAAATAAACGTTTTGCCAAGTAAGAAATGCAGCTATTACACGCAGGAGACTGTTGCACAACATGACAATTTTGTTAGAAGTCTACACTGAAACTTCATTTAGAGCCAGAAACATAATGGACTTAATCAAAATCGCGGGATCCGTGAATCCAGGTCAATGATCGAGAGAGACCAGTAGCCTACGAGTTAGTCAGCGGAACTTCACAGACTCAGATTCGCAAATCCTTACTCACTGTGCAAAACATATGGGCATAGATATGTCTCATAATTATTTGTGTGAACATAAAAATTATTTGTGTGTAAATATGTGATTTGGAAATGTAAAACACCATCCACAAATGCATTTAAAAGATTTGCAAACTCACAAATAAATTTGCAAATGTAAAACGGATCTGCAAATACGCTAAATATGTTCACAAATAAAAAAAATATCTGTGAATATCTCTTTAACATTTACAACTTTCGATCAGGCATTTGTGAATCCATTTTGTATTTGTCGACCAAAAATGCGCTTGTGGATCTCAACTCTCTGCTCGTGGATCTCAAATCTCTGCTTGTGGATCGTCTTTTTACACACACGGAATTTTGAGACAAACTTTCCTCTGGTCTCAGCTAAAATCTACTCGTGTAACTCGGTTATTTTCGGAAGCCACGTGATGGCCTGCTGATGACGACATTTCCGCATGATTTCAAAGTAAGAGCATGATGGCTTGTTTAATGCTCTGTTTTTTTATTATAATGAACAGCGAAACGTTAGATGCATTCTTTATCACCATCATCATCATCATGTTATAGTGATACAGTTAGTTTGTGTTAGTTTATTGGTTCAATACAGCATATATCGAGCACTTTCGTAGGCATTGATGTTGAAGTACAGGCTACGCCACTTCGGGTCCCGGGGGAGCAGCTGGCAGCGAAGCAGCCCAGAGGAAACTCGTTCTTCATTGTTTTTTGTGTATTCAGTCAAAGTTACAAAGCACTTCACATTTTATTAATCAGCCTAATTTTACCTTACCAGTGCAGTAATAAAGTAATCTGTAGAAAAGCACCGTATTTAGGTCAGCCTTCATAGTAAGGCTACATTAAATGTTATAATATTCATCGTGTCCTTTCTACTGTATATGCATATATTCCTGTCTATTGCTTTCATTTGTATTTCATGTTATTATGTTTATACTTGTTTCCACACATTTCACAATTTGGGATGAATGAAGTATCTATCTATGATATCTATCTATCTATCTATCTATCTGTCTATCTGTCTATCTGTCTGTCTGTCTGTCTGTCTATATCTATCTATCTATCGGGTTGAGAGGTGCCTCTTCTTCCCTTTACAAGCTTCAAAAATGTATTTATCATGAGATTTTGGCAATAACAGTTTCATATTCTGAAAGCCAAGACTTTGTTTATTTAAAATCAAACAAAACACCCGAACCCTGAAAAACTAGTTTTTTTACACAAATCCACGTTTATTTTTTAAATGAGCCGTTGCGACTTTTGACTGATTTCGATAGAGCGGGTCACAAATAATAACTATTAGAAGGAAAAAAATATATACAGATTTCAGTATTCTGAGGCTCTGAGCCCCATTTATTTTCCTCACAGACGGCAAAAAAAGCCCGACATTATACGATTTAAAATAAAAACAATAATCGTGGCTTGATATTGAGTAAGAACATGTTTTTATGAACCACACAGGGTCTTGGAAGACCGGACAAAAAGACGCAGGCACGAAACACACTACCAATAGAAATACATTGCTTTTAAAATCATTCTGTGTGACACGAAAAAAAAAGGGGAAAATCGTGTTGGTGAACACGAATCAATAGATCACATTTATTTCGTGAAAATATAGTTAAAGTAGCGACAGTAAAAGTAGTGATTGTGCAGATTGGTCCATTTCAGAATAATATATATGATGTGTTTTATAATGATTGATCATGAAAGTGTTCTCAAAGCTGGTAAAGGTGCAGCTAGTTTGAATGACTTTGTATACTGCAGGGTAGCTTGTGAATTTACTCCAGGTGGAACTAAAGTCTGATTTAACACTTGATTATATTTCACATCATTCATCCAGATCTGTGAAGTAACTAAAGGTATTAAATACATGTAGTGGAGTCAAAGTACACCATTTACCTCTGACTTGTGTTTACTGCCAACCTAAAAGTACCTCAAAAATAGTAATCAATAATGTATTGAAAAGTTATTTGGCTGATTGTTTTATATTGGCTCAGCCAGGTTATATGGGATGCCCAGTCTACGTACAGATGGGTCACTCATTTTGAAATATTAAACTTAGTTTTCTTTCCTTTAATTTTTCATCCTCATGTAGAATGCTATTATGAAACACACATTTGGTTGTTTATAGCATAAAGAACATCTGATTTAATGTGAGGTAGGGAAATAATCATTTGAGTATAAGTATGTGTATATAAATAATTTACAACAGCTGTAAGATGCTTGAAAAGCTTGAAAATGCACCTTGAAAATGCTTGAAAAGTGCTTGAATTTGACTTTGGAAAAGGTGTAAGAACCCTGTGAGAGGGTCACTACTTACAAATATCTGGGATTTCTTATTGAACATAACTTGTCTTTCAAGTTACACACGGAAAATGTTGTTTCAAAGCTAAAAATAAAATTAGGTTTCTTTTACAGAAATAAATCCTGTTTCTCTTTTCAGACAAGGAAACATTTGATATCTGCAACGTTTTTACCTGTATTAGATTATGGTGATCTGCTATACATGAATGCCTCTGACCAGTGCCTAAAGAGCTTGGATACTGTGTACCATTGTGCATTACGATTTATTACTGGATGTGGATATCGAGTACACCATTGCACTTTATATGCTGCTGCTAATTGGCCGTCTTTGTCTGCTCGCAGACTTTCCCATTGGTTGGGTTTTATTTATAAATCTCTGCTTGGGTTGGTTCCCTCCTACATTTGCACATTATGTGTCAAAGAGAAAGTCTATATGGCCTGCGCTCCCAAGATTTGATTCAGATGCTGGTTCCTACAGTGAGAACAAAACTGGGTAAAACAGCTTTTAAATATGCTGCCCCCACAGCTTGGAACAGAAGGAGCTGAAACTCTCAGATGTAATCACTATGGGGGAATTCAGGTCCATCTTAAAGGACAGAGAACATGACACCATTGGTAGATGTGAGTGCTCGTATATCCTAAAATCGTTTAAAATGTTGCCAGATTTTAATGATTTTTAATAGTTTGTTTTATTTCGCATATTGACTGGCTAATGTGCCATTTTATTTGTTTTTTACAGCTGTATTTGTCTGCCTGTCTTGTCTGTGTTTTATCTGTTGTAACTTCGTTCATGCTGCCCTTCTTGGCCAGGTCACTCTTGGAAAAGAGATTTTAATCTCAATGAGTCTTTTTACCTGGTTAAATAAAAGGATATATATTGGATTATTCAACTTTGCAATGTGTTTGGGTCAATACCAAAGTGATGCTAGAGAATTAGGTCGTGCTCTGTGAAGATCTATCAGCCAGTGCAAACTTTTTTTTATTATGTTTTTCTACATAACCACATATTGGTATGAAAAAGATTGTATATTTACAGTATTTACACATCGCATAACATTTCAACAAACATTCCTCTCATTGCAGATCACTTACACCCACCAGCCAGCAGGCGGCGCTACACAGCAGCTCACCACAGGCAGGAAGCCCTTCAACACCATGAAGCCTTCACATGCTTTCATAGTCCCATTTCAACCTCAAAGGTCAATACTATTTACTACTATATATGCGAATAGATGGACCCTTTAGAGAGCAGTGTAGTTTGTCTGTTGCTGTCCAGGAGCAAAAGAAGCATAGAGTTATGTGACACACATAATGAGTGTTTTTTATTTATTTAAGGGCTCATTTTGGGTTTTCATATCTTGTAACCCTGACTACTTTATATCTACCTGCAGACCACAAAGAATACTCCAGAGAGGAATATGTACAATATGTCTGTTTTGCTTCTACAACTCTACACTACTGTCTATGACTTACAGTTGTTCATGTTCTAACAGATTAGTTTTCTTGTTTGTTTTTTGTGGACTTCACTTCACTGATTGATATAGGTTGCCCTATCAAAAGGTCTCGACTGATCCATGAAGGCTCTCATTGGGGGGTCTCTCATGTGTTTTCAATCCATAAAGGTAAACCAAAACTAAACACATTTCCCACTGCACTTGAAGGCATCAATAATAAGCAGCACAGAATGGAAGGCAGTTCAGACAGAAGTGCATACAAAGCTTCTGACGTGTTGCACCTCTCAGCAGCAGTTTCCTAATAAATATCTCGAGTCCTTGGGCCCAACCCCTTGCTTCAGGAGGCGTGCAGCCGGTTGGCCATACTGCGCTGGCTCAGTCTGTGAGACTGGACCAGGTTCATACTTTGGGTCGCAGCCCCATTTTCATGCACCAGCTCCTCATCCTCCTCCTCTTGCCCCCCCATACTGCATTGCCTCTCAGCCTCCATAGTTCTCTGCTCCCGGGCCAACATGAGTACCATCTCGGCGTCCATGGTCTCACCAGAGGAAAAGGGCTGACACACGGTCTCCAGCAGGCCAATGACTGTCCCCAGCACTGCCAACACTGAACCCAGCAGGTAGACCTTCAGCAGACCCCGGCTGGGTCTCTGAGACAGAATCTCTCTGGCGAAGGGGATCAACTCCTGCATGCTTCCCATTTACAACGGTGAGGCACAATGGTGGGCTGAGCGTAATGCAGACCTGGAAACAATTAATGATTTTAGAGGTTATCAGCTGTTTTCAGATAAACAATGTCTTTCATAATCCTTTTGAATTCCACATCATTCACAACTGATGAGATTTTTAAAATGTGATTGTCTTTCCAGCGGTTAGACAGTGTATACTCTTTCATGTATATACACATGATATAACATATATTTAAATGTCATCTACAGTTAATTAAGTTGAAAATAGAAATTCAACACAATGTACAGTAGGGTATAGCAATGTAGGCAATTGATGACTTTTGCAAACACAGTGACGTTTGTTTCCATTTATGCATTTCACACACAGCACACACACTAGTACTGAATATTAATGTTTTAAAAAAACATAAAAACTTACTGTGATTTAGTCTGGTGTTTGTTCTAGTTACTGGTTGACCCTACTGAGCTCCAGTTTGTGGCAGAACACATCTTCATTGGACACTGTCCTCATTTATAGCCCCACTCCCCCCACCCGCACAGTGTCACACAGCTGCTGAATATTCATGGTGGACTGTCAATGGAAATAAAAAAGATTTGAGAAACTTTGACCCAGGTCTGCGTTGGCTTATTGCAGTCGTCACTGTCACTGGTGCTATGAGTAATATTCCATTATAGTAGGGTTTACAATGGAGTGACTGCTGTGTTATGAGTTTCATTCAAAATGTCAGAATGAACAGTGTGTGAATATTGTATCTGTTTATCTTGTGAAGATAATGAGGACAAACCGGTACCATGCCGAATGTAAAGTACTGTACCATACCATGTACAGTATCATACCAACATGTTATATGTTGAAAATTACAAGCAAGGGAAAAACAACCACAACTCGACCACTTGACAACAATGTTATACTGATACTTCCCGGGTTAGTATGTCTGTAACAGATTTGAAGACTCTAGACAAATAAGAACAATGTTGTGACATTGTTCTTTTCATACTGAATATGACAGACAGTAAGAGAAAAATAAAGACCTTTTTCAACTTTAAAGCATGTAAACATGTCACAGTAGAGGCACAGGATATTAATATGAACCTAAAAAAGGGCATACTAGTGAACCTTTAAAGTTCCTAGTCTAACTAACGTCATTATTTCACCCTCAGAAAACTGATGCGACAACTAAAACTGAAACCGTTTGGCAGTGTAACAGCTAATAGGGGTCCCCTTTAAATATACTGTGAAGTGTGTACATAGCACATTTATTGATTCTAGTTAGATGTTTGCGTGAATAAGTCAAAATCCATGAATACATCAAAAGACCAAAAAAAGCAAAGGTAACAACAATGAACATGATGTTTCTCAGGTGTTGTTAGGTTAGTGTGCACTGCTAGGCTGAAACCATACAGGTGATCAGGGCTTTCCATCAAGCTGATGGGAGTCCGTGGGTGTTTCTCAATCACGAGTAAAGCTGCTTCAGAGCCACTATTTCAAGCATACTACGTCATCGAGTGCCGCCGAAGTACTGTTCCAATCTCCAGCATACTTGGAAATCTACCGAGCCCGGCGTACTCCGTTTGGAGAAATATCGAGTCTGCACATGAGTAGACTTCGCGGTCTTAAAATCCCCACAATGCTTTGCGCACGGACCAATTTCCCCAAATCTGTGGCGGAAGATGTAAGGCGGGGCCTCTCATATGACGCACACCTGCACACTTGCTAGCGTGTTCCACACTTCGTTTTCCGAATGCCAGGAAATATTCTTGACTCGCTTCTGAAGCAAGATGCTCGGTAGACATGTGCTACCAAGCAAGCGTACTCGCGATTGAGAAACACCCTGTGTGGATCTTCCACATCAACAGTCTCCAAATCAGGGGAAAGGTTGTGTAAATCGAGTCCTCTGCAGCATTTCAGCTGCTGTGACCTGTGGACAGAGTGGAACCAAAGAGAGGAGCACACAGAGTGGGTGTTTCTCAATCGCGAGTACGCTTGCTTGGTAGCACATGTTTGCCGAGCATCTTGCTTCAGAAGCGAGGCAAGAATACTTCCTGGCATTCGGAAAACGAAGAGTGGAACACGCTAGCAAGTGTGCAGGTGTGCGTCATATGAGAGGCCCTGCCTTATATTTTCCGCCACAGATTTGGGGAAATTGGTCCGTGCGCAAAGCATTGTGTGGATTTTAAGACCGCTGAGTCTACTCATGTGCAGCCTCGAAATTTCTCGCTACGAAGTACGCCGGGCTCGGTAGAATTCCAAGTATGCTGGACATTGGAACAGTACTTCGGCGGCACTCGATGATGTAGTATGCTTGAAATAGTGGCTCTGAAGCAGCTTTACTCGCGATTGAGAAACACCCAGTGGAACCAAAGAGAGGAGCACACACAGGCCCAATTCCAAACCACACCCTACCCACTCCCCCTCCGTGATGGAGTGAACTCCGTCTGTAGTCACACTCAGCTTAAAGAGGCTCCCTTCTTCCAGACGGAGGGTGTAAAAACAGCGGCAAGCTTTGGGACAAACTTCCCTCTCTCCAGCTGAAACAGGAAATGCCATAATTTTTCGTAACAACGGTTTCAAATCAGCATCTCTTGGATTAAAAATAACAAAAATAAAACCCTAAAAATCTTTTATGGCATATCTTTTTTGTAAACATATTTTTGTTTTAAAATCTGATGTTTACAAATGATTGTAGAGCCCATTGTTCAAACTTTGGTGCTCCTGGCCCTCACTTGAATCTTTGGTTTACAATAGAGTGCCACAGTGACCCGTCCTAAATCCCGGAAGTAAGCTGCGCATGGGTTCCTTCGACAAAAAAGCAATGCAATTTCTGCATAGGATTTTGGAAAATAGCTGGAAATAAGGTCTGTGGTTGACACACATTTAAGAGACGGATCACGTTTTGTTCAGTCGGATAATCTCCACATGTCTACCCTACTTTTATAATTTTCGAATCATAAATCCAATCGATAGATATATGATCGATTAGATTTGTGGTTGTGTGTCAACCACAGACCTTATTTCGAGCTATTTTCCAAAATCCTATGCAGAAATTGCATTGCTTTTTTGTCGAAGGAACCCATGCGCAGCTTACTTCCGGGTTTTACAGTAGGACTGTGGCACTCTATCTTGCCATTTTTAGCTGTTTTGTTTTCTTGTCTGTGTCTTTGTCCTTTTATGAATGGCCAATCTGCCAATGAAACTAGTGTCATAAATCACCATTCAGCATGGACAAGTGAAATACTATACATAAAGTTTGCGAATAATAAGAAAATGGAGAACAAGAGTAAATAAGTGACATAATTATAAATCATGACTGAGTGTGAGGATACAGCGAATCAAAAGTAAACAGGGCTCTGCTCAATTCACACATTGCTCCATTTAACAGAGACATATGAGACAAATAAGAAACATCATTCAGATGTAATCAATATTCTACTGATGTCCCACAGGGGTCTATTCTAGGCCCATTGTTGTTTGTCTTTGTGGTCATTGACTTCTGCAAATTGCATTTTCTTTATCGTGTCAAGTCTGGTATCTTCTGATTTTGGTTCAGTATATTTATAAACTTTACTAATTCATTATTTTAATACTGCATTTCCTCTGCTACATGGACATTAATCAACCGCCATTGGTTTGCTCTGTCATTAATGTTCAGATGTATATCGGTACGGTTGTACATTTGCGTGGCAAAAACGAAGATTCAACTGTATGAAAACGATTTGCTGTAATAGTATAAAATGCTTTGTGGCTAGTTCAACCCTGTCTTTAAGTTCCAAAAACATTATGTTCTTTACAAAAAGTTGTTCAGGAGTGCAATGATCCTCTCACATGTACGTTGTAATAACACCACGCTAAAACCAATAGATCCCTGTACAAAGAAATACTGTAGACATGAAGAACACATAATCCAAAAAACACATGAAGTAAATAAGTGCAGAAACGTGTTCAGGCACACAGAAGTTTATTATGTGATTGTAATTTGTTTTGTATTAGTTTCTTTTCCCCACTGTTTCCCAGGTGCTTCCCAGGTATCTGCTCTGCAGTGATGTTTATCGGTCACCTTGTGATTATTTAAAAAGGCAGTCATGGCTCAATTTCACTGTAACCAAGGGATCGGGTTGACAGAGAGGAAACAGCAGGATGTTAGCAAGAAGAATAAAAAGACAGTTATATCTGATCTCCTGTGTAATTGAAGTCGTGACCGTACATGCCTGAAGTTGTGTGCCTGTGTGTGTGTGTGTGTGTGTGTGTGTGTGTGTGTGTGTGTGTGTGTGTGTGTGTGTGTGTGTGTGTGTGTGTTAGTTGAGTCAGTAGACACACCCTACTTGGACTTAGTCAGTGTGTCTGAGGAGAATGGAGAAAAACATGACGTGTGTTCAGCTGCCCTCAGGCTACTATTTCTTACACAGAGGTGATGATCAGCAGTACTGCACACTCACAGTTAGCACACAGGCTGGGTAAGACCGCCCACAGGCATGTATCTGACAGGGTACCCCCCCCCCCCCTCCCAGAACTCTGCTTTTATGAATGGAAAAAACACAAAACAGTGTTTAAGTGTAACATACATTTTCATGATAAATAAATAGCTATTACAGATTCAAACTTAGGCATCATGTTTCTGATATGTTGAGACATGATAGTCCCTGGCGTTTAAGGAATGTTAAGGTTCAATGTGTTCTGCCAGCCACTGTGGGGAAGAATCTGAGCAAACAAAGAGCCGGTCCACCTTTGACAACTGAAAATCAAATTATTAATCGTAAACATTTTATTGTATTTTGATGCGCACACTGTCTGCTTTGAGTAGTGAACACATCAAGGATGTGAATGAATCCCTAACTACATGTGGAATTGGTTTACAGCCTTGCTAGCGCGCTGTCAGGCTGTGCTTTGAGCTATATGCTAAAGTGTTCACAAGACATGCTAACATGATGATGGTGCTGCATGAAAAAGTCAGAGGATTCCCAGAGTTCTCTGGGAGAGTAAATACTAGATTTTGTAAAGACATGTTTTAGCCTGCACAGTAACAAGAAACACATCTACGAACATTTGATGTTTTTCTAACTGGTTCAATGAGTAGATGGAATGTTTCGAGCTCCGTTTAAGTTTTATATTTGAGGTCAGGATTGTGTTGTATTACACCTGGATGAGTCTTTTTAAGTTTGTGGTTTCCTCGTGTTGACTGTGTCTGCCTTCCTGTCTGTGTGTGTATGTGTGTGTGTTGATTCATGGAGTGAAGGGAGTGGAGGGGAAGGGTGTGACTCTTACACACAATGTGTCATAGCGCCCAGGTGAGACAGTGTTTATAACGCAGCAGCTTGGCAGCAACACAGTCATATAGAGCAGATAACAGAGCTGATAGCACACACACTGCAGGTGAGTCCCACTTCAGGAAATACAGACGACTGGCTTTGATTCTATTCGATCGTTTCCGCCTGCTGATATTTGTTTTGTTTTCTCAACAGACTTTTTCATAGGACGAACAAAACATGAGACTACTTTTACTTTTAGCTGGTAAGAATGTGTTCTTTTTCCTT